AGTGAAAAAAAATAAAGGAGTAAGGAACCTGACTGCTCACTAATCAAGGAAATCCTTAGCGCAGAGCCTCTGGACAACCACAGTACAGAATGAACAATGAGATTTTTCCATTAAGAAGGTTTTATGCCACTTTATTGTATTTTCTTTTTCCTGGGCTTTGATAGTACTGGTGGAATGAAGCATTTAAGATAGCACTTTATTTTAATGTCAGTTTATACAAAAAACTGAAGCTGCCTACAGAATGCCAGGCGCTGTCCTGGGTACTGGAGATACAGTGATCTACCCGTTGCCCTGAGTTTGTGTTCCAGAGAGCAGATACGTAAACTGCATTGCTGTGTAGCAGGGGAAAGATGCAGTGAGACGAGTAGGCAGTCTTGTAAGAATATGTGCAACCAGTGCGTGACCCAGGGGTTGCAAATACTGTCGAGGGAAAGTGATAATAACAAGGAAGTCTTTCTATAAGTGACAAGCTGGGTCCTGGACATTAAGAGTTAACTAAGTGAGGAAGGAGATTGTTCTGGGCTAAGAACAGTGTGTGCCAAAGGCCCAGAGTCAACAGCATACGGCATGTTTGAGTGAGCTCAGGCTCAAACATAGCTTATAGGACGGAAAGTGGCAGCAGCTGAGGCGGGATGGACCAAGCCCAGATAACAGAGGGTCAGTCAGATTGGCCTTTTAAGGAACTTAGATTTCATCGTGAGCACAAACTCAAGCCATGAAGGAGTGTAATTTGAGAAGGACATATTTGCATTGTGTGTGTCAATCCAGTCCTTCATGAGGGGCAGACAGACCGGTCAGGACCATTCTCAGGAGGAGATGAGTGAGTTCTGCACCAAGATGCTGTCGGGAATACTGGAGCAAGATAGTAAGGAGGAGCCTGGACTGTGAATCGTAGGATGTAGAAGACTAAGGTAAAGAAGCAAAATTAACTCCCACATTTCTGGCTTATACAGCCGAGAGATGGGGATGCTGTTCTTTCCTGGGAAATTGGTTGGTGAGTGGAGAGGAAGGAGCAGACTGTCGAGAAATCGCCATAACTCACTGTTGTACGTAGGGGGTTAGGTGCTGCCGTCAGAGTGTTGGGTAGGCAGTGGAATGTGGATCTGGCCTAGTACACGTTCCTGGGCCAGCAGAATTCGGGCTGTCAGCAGAGATACCAACAATGGGGGGTGCAGATGGCTAAGGCTGCCCTCGTGTCTGTAGCATGAGAAGAGAAAGGGGCTTAGCCAGCAGTGACTGAGCCACAGTATCCAGAGAAGCAGCCGGTCCTAGGAAGCAAAGGGAGAAGCATCTGAGGACAAGAAGGAGGAGCATGGAGTTGGCAGTGTAGGTACTACTGAAACAGCAAGTTAGGAAAGGCTGGAAAAAGGGAGGGACCAACAGATGGTGTGGTGGTTAAGGGCTCTGGACTCAAACGTGGCCGACTGCAGTTCGTGTCCCAGACCTGGCAGCTTGCTTTCTCTCTTTCATTCTCTCTCTCTCTGTCCCTCTTTGGTCAAATTAAAATAAAAATGAAGTTATATAAATAATTCTTTAATTAAATAAAAAAAGAAAAGGCTGGAAAAAACAGTGGGACATAACAAGATATCATTGATGATCTTGACAGAAACCGTTCCACTGAGGGGAGGCAAAGGCCTGATAACCCTGAGAGAGGTGGGAAATGGTCTCCTCCTCACTTGCTCCCCTCCTGTCTAAACCGGGTGTGAATTCGGAGTAGCTGTGAGTAGAAGTAGCGTACCCTGTAGTAACTAACTGCTTGTGTTTCTTTAAAGCTAGAACTGGATGGTGAACGAGTGGACCTGCCAAATTTGGAAGGTATTATAGTTCTGAACATCGGATACTGGGGCGGCGGCTGCAGGCTGTGGGAAGGCATGGGAGATGAGACTTACCCTCTAGCCAGGTAGGTACATTTGCAGCCTGTTTTTTTATGCCACTATTTTCTCTAAAGCAGTCTGTTTTTCTTTATTAACTTTCATATTTTTCCCTCAATACTTTTTGTGTATGTCAGCTTAAGTATTTAATAAATTGATGTTCACCCTTATTAAAAAGTAATTGCCCTGGCATGGCTGATTTAATTTTGTAGTATCACATAATCCATATTTCCTTTTTACAATTTTAGGCATGATGATGGCTTGCTGGAAGTCGTTGGAGTATATGGATCTTTCCACTGTGCTCAGATTCAAGTGAAACTGGCAAATCCTTTCCGAATAGGACAGGCACATACAGTGCGGGTAGGTGAAATATTGCTGTAAGAGGCTGATCTGTTCGAGTCCATTTCTAAGCCACCGATACATATAAGAAGGTACATGAACAATCATTTTCTTTAAAAGAGTGGTTTTCAGGCCAGCAAGTGGTACAGAGGTCAAAGTGGCTGGGTCCCACATGGACAATGGCAAGGTTTGAGTCCTGGACCTGACAACTTGAAAAACACACAGGCATGTGTGCGTGCATGCCTAAATACCCCAAGAGGAGAATGGAGAAGGGACTGTGGCATGGCTATCCCTTCTGGAGAGTGATTTTTCACTTTCCCTCTCTCTCTCTCTCTCTTTCTCTGTCTCTCTCTGGTGAGCACTCATGTCCTATAGCAAAACAGAAACAAAAATAAAACAAAAAAAAACAGTGATTTACAGCCCATGCTGTTGGTCACCCTGCACCAAGGGCTTGAGGAGGCTAGAGAATAAACAAGGAAATATGGCTGAAGAAATCAGCTTTTCTTTTCTTTCTTTTTTTTTACATTATTTAAATTTAATTTTCTTTTATATTTTCAATCACATTATGTAGCTTACAAAGTGAATATTTCAACATGTGAACATTTCTTCCTAGTCCAGTTCATAAAACTATAAAATATCTTCAACAGATAATACCACATTTTTGGTCCAGTTAATGCTTTGCCTCCCTATTTTTCTTCTAAATGTCCTTCCTCAGACCCTACTCTTTCACACATACTATATCTGGTATTTATATCCATTTACTGTGTTTCTATATCCTTTAGTCAGTTTTAGTCATAGAGTGCAGACACTCAGTATATATTAAGTGGGGACATACAATGTCTCTCCTTCATAGCCTGGCTTGCTTCACTCAGCAGTAAATCTTCTATAGTCTTCCACTTTTTGTTAAAAGCCAGGGTTTTGCTGTTTTTTATGGCTCAACAGTATTCCATAGAGTATACGTGCCATAGTTTTTCAATCCATTCATGTGTTCATGGGCATTTGTATTGGAAGAAATCAGCTTTTCACTGGAAAAGGATCCCTTAAGCCCTTGATGAATGATGAAATACTCAAATTAGTTTTCTAAAAGTGAAATGCAGAAGGGTGAAGGGACTATGGATGATACTTTTAAGAAAGACATTTCTGAACTTTGGGGCGACTGACATTTTTCTAATTATTTGTTTCCTCATATCAGCTGATTTTGAAGTGCTCGATGATGCCAATGCAGGTAGATGGAGAGCCATGGGCCCAGGGGCCCTGCACTGTCACCATAACTCACAAGACGCACGCACTGATGCTGTATTTCTCTGGAGAACAAACGGATGATGACATTTCTAGTACTTCAGATCAAGAGGACATAAAGGACACTGAATAGACAGAAGAGGAATGAAAACAGCATAGAATCCTCCGAACAAGTAGATCAGTGTTCATTGAAAAGTAGAAGCTCTCTACCACCTGTTCAGTCTTAATTTCGGTAGTAATATAATGACTCTACATTTATGTAAATAGAGTCCCCCAAACAGCCAGACTTCTAGTTATGTACAAATGCCTGTTTTTTTTATAGCAAAATGCTTAGCTTGTTTAAGTATTTTTTAAAAAGTCACAGAAAGTTACATGAAAATGAGATATTTTTCTTGTCACTGTTTTGAGAGCAGGACTCAATCTTAGGTATGTACTGTGTCATTCCTTATTCTCAAACACACATTGGTAGACACATCATACTCCCAGCAAGTTACAAGTAGAAAGACCATTTCTGTCTTAATTTTTAAGGTAGTGACACTGTAGCTTTTTAAACATTTACTACTTTTTTGAAAGGAGATGGTTAATGTCAAATGGCATGATTAATGCCTCAGCCCCAACCAATTGGAACCATATGTGTTCATTTCCAGGAATCATCAAAAGAAGAATTATAAAAGACAATACTTAAAATTTTTATTATAAGTTTAATTTTAGGATCCTTTTCAGACTCCCAAATGTTGTCTGATCAACCCTGTTAATGACTACGTTGAGCTGAAATTCAGAATCTTTTTATAACCCCAGTATAACCAAGAGAGAACTAGACAGGTGAATTGGTAAAATAAATAAATAAGAATCTAAGCACTTGGGATTGAAACTTGTAGGTTCAAAGCTAGATAGTTAACCAACTTTTTATTTTTATTTTTTTAATTAAAAGACAATGTCAACAATTCAAGAAAAGTACTTAAAGGAAACTTACCAGTCAGGTTAATTGCTCAAAAAAAAGCTCAAGACTGATCAGTGTTTTAAAAATGCAGTGGTCTTGTAGTGTTTTAAAATACAGTGTTCTTTTATAGCTAACATACTTAACAGAATTTCCCCTTGGGGGATTGAAGTGGGCAGAACCCTCTGCTAAAATATGTATATCATATTTATTTTAAAATGAGAGAGATATATATTTTTAACTTATTTATTATTATTTACCTTGTGGTATGAGGCCTGTGTTTAGTGTTTACATTATATAGCTTTATTAAGTTAAATTGATCACATAAATTCTGCTAGTTACAGACAGAAATTTAACCCATTGACTAAGTGATTGAAATCCTAATTTAATTATTCTGACAGATATATTGTCCAGATATTCTCATTCTTCAGGAATATCCCTCAGCATTTGAAGAAAGCCAAAGGGGCGGTAAAAGCACTGATAGACTGCTCTTGAATAACTAAAAGTTTGTTCCAGTGTTTTTCTCTCAATTGCCAAAAATGTTTTGAAGGGCTACTGTCATGGTTACCCACTAGGGGGTGCTCTTTTGCTGTTGTTAACCAGCCTGTTCCCCACTGTCTTGGCACTTAGGCAGACCCAAAGGCCATCCAGCCTGGTGTTTTTCTGAAGGATGGCCTGTTTGTGAGCTTCAGGTCTTTTGTGGCATTAATTTCTGAAGGATTACAGTGTACCTTTCTAAAAGCCATTAACTCTGTTTAACTATTTGTTATGAAATCCATCACCCATGTGTTGCTGTATCTTAATTTGAGTCACCTTGGGCCCAGGCCACGTTTTGAAGGAAGAACTAAGTAATGATACAGTAATCAGTACATGATACAAAATACTTCCACTTTGTTAAATTAACTCTCCTGGATCTCCACTAGCCATGCTAAATTCTGGAAGCTAAAGATGTTGTGAGCAGGTCTTTTTTCAGCTGCTTCATACGCCTTTCACAGTAGGTAACCATGGCAGCGGCCGAGGTGATGGAAGAGTTCTGTAGGTTCTCTGTTATGGGCTGATCATGTTTAGAGTGTGATGAAGTTTATCCTTTAATTCATTGGTCAAAGTTGTCATAGATACCATATTTTATAAACACAATATTAAACTCACTCTGCCATAGGTTCTATTTTACCTGTCATTTATAATGAATGCTAATTAAAGTAGAAACAAAGTAGTTACCTTGAGACATCTGAACTAAAATAATCAAAATAACAATATCTTCTTAATCTGAGACTCTTCTAACCGTAATATTACATTGGGCTTTTCCGTAGAACTGGTTTATGTACAGCGCCCTCTTATCTGAACAAGCTGACTTCTCAGTTGCCATCACTCTCTGAGGGGTTTGTTCATTCCTACTGACTATGAAGTGTTCTACTGCCTCACTCATTCAGAGTTTATTTAGGATATTTATTTCAGAATGTTATATACATAAAACATATTCTCTTGTTTTAACAAAAGTCACTTATTTCTAGGGCACATTTACCCTGTATTTCAAATAAGTTACAGGCATGTGCCTTGTTTAAAGAAATACAATTTTATAAAACTTCATGTTTCAAGTTATATATTAGGGTGGTAATATGTTACCAGCGATTCCCCACTTCACACAATAATTTGCTGTATGATTTTGCTGTTCCGTTTAAAATTGTCTTGATATTTTAAAAAATTACTTTTACATTCTCAGGAAGAAACATTGAAGTAAATAATAGCTCCATATCTGTTTTCAGATTTCTCTTATCATTTATTCTTCTAGTACATTTCCAACTCCTGGCAAACTTTGTGGCTTAAATACTGAATACCTGGCAGCTTTTGTAGATCCCATAGGTAGATGATAATTTTCAGTGTTTTGTTAATGTTTGATAGAAATAAAACTGCTTGTGTTTCAGAACACAACTCGTCTAATAGCAAGACTACATGAACTAAACGTGTTCCAGGTGTTCTGCAACGATTAGCTGTGAGCCCTAATGTAGGTAATGTTTATAAAAATTTTATAGCAAAGTTGTTTATTTTATTTTTGTAGAGTGTGTCAGAAACATGTAGTATTTGCTTTTTGGAATACACTTGCCTACCTAAAGTTGTAAAATATACCGTGACTCAGAAAGTGTCAAGTCCTCTTTGCACTGTAAAAATGAGTACTACCAGCATGTTAAAAAAATTTGCATTTGTAATATAAAGTAAAATTGTATTTAATGTATATTATGGAATTTTATTCTGTACTAACTAGAAAACTTTCAAGGTTACATTAATTTGCAGATTAAAGTGAACCTGAACCTGAATGCATAGTGTTTGGCCAATAAGATCCATTATATGGGTGATAGTTTTGTGTAGTTGTCCTCCAGAATGATAATACTAAAGCAAGAACCAACACTTTCTGTTCAGAAAGTGTTTGTAATTGTGCCCAATTTAGGACAGAGAATGTGTAGATTTATAAGAAATACCTAGAAATTTCAAAAGAAATCATTTTGTTGTATCCCCATTTCAATTGAAGGCACATTCTCAGCAGCAAGGCAGAAAAAGTTGCTTTGGTTTGCTTTTAGAAAGCCTACTGCTCCTTTCCCAGATTTTACCTTTAAGGCCCATCTCCTGTCTCTCCAAGTGAGCTTTGCAGGCTGTCTGCAGCATCAGAATCACCCAGGCAGGTTGTTCCAGGTCGGCTTCCTGAGCTCAGCTCCAGTGGCTCTAGAGATCAGAGAAATCCGTTTTTATTAATACGCACTTCAGGTGATTCTGTTGCACATTGAAACTTGAAAGTTTCTGGTCTGTACCTTATTTGTTGTGGTGTGAGATATTCAAGAATCGAGACCACTCACGGAATTCAAATTTTTATGAGCCTTTATTCCCAGCAGAGACTGCTGTCCTCACACACACGCAGGCAGTGTCAAGATGTCAGCCCCGACCTGCAGTTATACAGAGCTTTTAAGCATAAAAACCACAAAAGGGGGTTTCCAAACTTCAAGGAGGGGTCTGCATTCTGCAAGGTGG